AGTGGCAGGTTTGACTCTTCCGCTCTTTATCATCCGTGTGATTTGGGTAAGCCAACTATTTTCTATGTCTCTTCTCTGAAATAGATTAATAATACTTACCTTGAAAAATTATTGCAAGGCTCAATGACACATCCAGAATTACCTAGCCGAGTACCAAGCACAAAATAGATGCTCAAAGTCATCATTATTTTCACTTCTCTATGTTTTAAACACTTTCACTTCTAAGGAGTTTACGGTTTTATTGTTGTAGTCTAATTACTACACAAATGAAGAATCTTAAAGATCTCCTATAGAAATAATTTTCTTATCAGTAAAGAGTAAAGAAGAGGACACATTAGAAAAGTGAAAAATTTGTCAGTCAATACATCAGAATAATCTGGGGCCGCAGAGTTTAGGCTTTCTTGCTATTTTTATGCCTCTTTATTCTTTTAGTTTCTATACTTATTTCCCTTTGTTAAACTCAGATTTAAAAAGTTAACTCACAAATGATATGATGTATTAGTCAGGCTGTTCCATTAGGCATGATGCACAGAAAACTAAACTCGAATGGAAAGTCAAGCAATGCAAAATCTCTATTCAGCATATACAACTGTGTCCATGGTGAAGCATTCTCCACTTACACTGTAATAACAAAAAGACTGGTATGCTAAAAGAATAAATAAGTCTCCAAGCTAGAATTTTCAATTTTTCATGTTTTTACTAATGTGCATTTATTTTAAAACAGAAAATTTTATTTTGACCACCATCATCATTTTTCAGTTCCAGATGTTGGATGCCCTGCTGGTTTCCCCATCTGATTATTGAAATTGATTTTTGGAGTTGAGGAAAAGAAGGCAAATCATCACATATCAACCTATTATGCATGTTACGCTGTTTGCATTATCACATCTAATCCATTTGACACTGCAAAGGAGCAGGTAGTGTTATCTGACTCAAGTCTGTCCTCCAGTTCATCTCACCACCTCCAGGATTCCTTTATGCTCTTTGTCAAGAACTCTGGTAGAGCAAAGAAAATGGTGATGTTTGTCATGTTCAAAATCTTACTGACCAAGACAGTCCTCTCTCTCTCTCTCTCTTTTTTCTCTCTTTTTTCTTTTTTTTTTTTTTTTTTTTTTTTTTTGAGACAGAATCTCACTCTGTCACCAGGCTGGAGTGCAGTGGTGTAATCTCAGCTCACTGCAACCTCCACCTCCTGGGTTCAAGTGATTCTCCTGCCTCAGCCTTCCAAGTAGCTGGGATTATAGGTGCATGCCACCATGCCCAGCTAATTTTTGTGTTTTTAGTAGAGACAGGGTTTTACCATGTTGGCCAGGATGGTCTTGATCTCTTGATCTCGTGATCTGCCCGCCTCGGCCTCCCAAAATGCTGGGATTACAGGCATGAGCCACCATGCCCAGACGACAATCCTCTCTTAAGGAGAAGAAGGGGTATATATTTACCTAGGGGATTCCCTAGAGGAGGAGAGGCAGAAAGGCATAAGAGGAGTATAGTAAACTGAAATCTTGACATCTAAATCTAAGACCTGGCTCTGTCACTGTACCCCTTTGGAACTTTAGGTAAATTCTTAACTCCTTCTGGGTCTCAATTTTCTCTTTTAATAAGACAAAGATTTGGAATAATAAAACTCTAAATTCATTTCCAGCCCTAGGACCTTATGGTCTAAAATGAGACTTCTTACATGATTCTAGTTAGGGTAAAACAATTCAGGATTAATAATAGTTATGTTAAGTACACTAGGTTTTTAAGAGCTCAATTTTGCTTATGTATAATAATGAGTTTGACAAAAAAAGTGGATTAAAGATGAATGGTTGAAACCCTCATTTAGCTTCTCCCTAGACAGGGGGATGGATAGTTTGCAAGGGAAAGTTTATTTTCTAGCATTGTGCCAGAAGAAAACAGGATAGGTCTAATAATAGCCTAAAAGATGCAAGCACTTTGAGATTCTTGCTTCCATACCATAGTCAGATTCTCAGGGTCTCAGTGGACATAGTCTTGGAGTTGGGCAGGGCATCTTAAAGCAGTGATCATCACCTAGGTTTACGTTGAGATTCTTACTTTACAACGTGCCTTCTGCCCAGTGACTCATGAGTGACACAGACAGTTATGGGTATTGGGAGGAGGGAGTAATCACTTAAAGGTGACAATGTTGGAGAAAAGTATAAGGAGGTGACTGGAAGACTGGATCTTCTTTGAAGGTTGGGTATGATCTAGAGAAATAGAGAATAGTTGGGGTCTAAGAGCACAGAAAGAGATGGAATATATAGTGTAGTTGAGGAAAAATAAGTGGGCCAGCTTAACATAAGCAACTCTGACATAGATTCAGTCTTCTGAATCAAAACCAGAATTTTGAGGCACTCAAGAAAGAGGGGTATTAACTACATCGGTTATAAACTTTTTAAAAAAGTGACTTTACAGAGACTAGTCTGGAGTGGGTAGTTTCGATATCTTCATAAGGATGACCTTGCCTTGACTCATTATTTAGCATTATTGTCCTTATAAAAAGTAATGCTATTAAAAATTTCATGTGTACATTGAGTCTTGAATTTCTTTTGGCACCTCCTGTGTCCATTGATTCAAAGCAAGGAAGCTGTATTCTCTTTCTTGAACTTTATGAGTTTGAAGTACAGTCCATACTATTGAGTGAGTTCTATGGGGCCATTGTCAAATCTAAAAGTGCTTTACAATGCTCCTGAGTAGATGGCATCCCACTGGGGTCATATCATTCACTAATTGTAGGTAATGTTCTTGGATGATAGCAAAAACCATATATAGCTCTAATAGCTGCTCTACAGATAGGTCCAAGTGCTATATCAACCCAACCCCAGTCTGGTTTATGTAAACCAACTATAAAATAATTTGCATGCAAAATATTATTTTACAAACTCCAATATCACAGGAGTAAACTATCTATTGAGAAGGCTTTGAATACTTGCATAAATGTTATATAAACATTACATAAACATGATGGACTTTAGTTTGGAGTCTTTGTTAATATAAACATTTTTAGAATTATCATAACCTAATTTATTTTAGCTCTAGACTAATTAATATTTATTCATAACCTATGTCTTTGCTAACTTGCCTAACTAAAAAGAGCCTCTGACGTTTCTTTCCCCTGGTATAATTAAAAATTAAAATTTGCCATCAGTAACTTATAGAAAACGTTTTTTCACGCTTATTTTTATCTCTTATACATTAGTATCTTTGAGGTCAAAATTGCTCTTTGGAGTAAAAACTCTCTGTCTAGTTGTTTAAAGAATCTATAAAATCTTTCCTTCCTTCCTCCCTCCCTCCCTTCCTCCTCCCCCCTTCTTTCTTTCTCTTTCTTTCTTTCTTTCTTTCTTTCTCTTTCTTTCTTTCTTTCTTTCTTTCTTTCTTTCTTTCTTTCTTTCTTTCTTTCTTTCCTTCCTTCCTTCCTTCCTTCCTTCCTTCCTTCCTTCCTTCCCTTCCTCCCTTCCTTCCTTCCCTTCCTCCCTCCCTCCCTCCCTTCCTTTTTTCCTTCCTTCCTTCCTTCCTTCCTTCCTTCCTTCCTTCCTTCCTTCCTTCCTTCCTTCCTTCCTTCTAGCAACGACGATAACATTTAGCACATATATACATTTTAGGAAGCAAAGCACGGGGAATCAGAGGCAAATTATCCCCAAATCTCTGCCTTCTAGGAATACAAAACCTAAGAGAATTAGATCTAAATAAAAACTGTAAGCTACATGTAGACTGAGTTGTCCTGCTTATTGAGATTAAAATGAGATTTATTTCAACCCTAACGTGTAAGCTGTAGTAGCCTTGAATCCCTCCCAATCTTTCCAAAAGTACTTTTGAGAGGGAGGATGGAGGGAGGGAATAAGTGGTGATTGGTATGATAGTCACATGCCCCTTAACATTTCTTGCTGCATATGCTGTTCTTCAAATGCTGTTTCTGCACTATATTGCCCAAGATGTGAAACACAGTCTCATTACCCCTGACAATTTCACTCACACAAGACATTTGCTTGTGTGGTAGACTTTGCTGAAAGCTTGAGATGATGGAGGGGTTTCACATAGCCCATTATTTGCCCCCTTCCCTTGATACACATCCTTTTCTCCATCATCCAGGTCTCCACCCTATTAACACAGAAGAGAGAACCTTAAGAGGATTTTTGGAAAGTAAGGGATGGGATAAAGCATGAAAGATGACCAGGTGCTAGCCAAGTTGTCGGACACTTTGCTGAAGAGAGGGAGCCCTGCCCTCGTGTGATTGGCAGAATCTTCATCTTTCTTCTTCTTGCTTTCCTGTCCATGGACTCTTTCGTGTCTGCTTAGTATAAGCCACCAACTCCCATCTCACATTTCAGTGACACCAAAGAATAGCAGAGACTTTGAAATTTTCTTTCTCTTCTTTTGCTTCTCTGGCATAAAGGAAAGTAAGCACTATACAGATTCATTGATATTGAATTAGGCCCTTTATATTAGAAGAAAAGAGTGACTTTTAAATGTTATTTTTTCTCCCTTTACAATTACAACACATTTCTATCTAGTCCCATCCTACAGTTGAGTGTTAATATCTCATTCAGTGGATGATGGATTCTTTATTTTTCATCTTAAAATTAAATAGCTATGTTCTATACCAGAGAAGTGCTCACTGGCTACTAGAGAATTCACTCCCAAATGAAAAATAAATGACATTAAATACATAATTCTGTCACTGCTAGAGCACTGTATTGTTTTCTTGTCATGGTCAATAGATACTTGTTCACCTTTTGGCAGCAGTGAAGGTAATTTTAAATTTTAGAAAGGAAAAACTTCCAGTTATACAGGAATTACTATTCTAAAAGAAATGTGTTTTCTGAATTTAATCTTTTAGATCAAAATGATAGAATTGTAAAGTCAAAAGGAGAAAAATTGAGGATTGCCTGGTTTGTATTATCATGAGTTCTCAAATGTTTATAAAGGCCATCTAAGAGTGAAAAGACAATGGAAACACGTAAGTCATTTCCTAATCTTATTTTAACCTTCAGGTTCAAACTTTTTATAGAATAGATGAAATGATAGGTACTTCATTGATTATCTTTTCACATAATCCTGTTTATCCCATAAGTGGAAATACTTCTCAAGAGTGAAATAGCCAAATGGAGGAAAAGTTCTTGGATAATAGCACACATTAGTCTTATTTAAAATTGTCATTCCAAATTATGATAATTTGTTTCCAAAGATGGCCGCCATAAATTTCTTCTTTCTCTGCACCTATGCACAATTCCCACATCAAGAGGTGAAGTCTAATTTCCCTCCCCTGTTATCTGGACTGACCTTCAGTTTTTGTTTCACCAATACAATCAGGTAGAAATGATATTGTAGCACTCCCAAGGCTAGGTCGTAAGAAACTTTGCACCTTTCCCCTGGGCCACATGGAACATTCCTCTTGGGATGCTCTTGAAACGCATCAGTCATACTGTGAGAAATTCAAGTCACATCCAAAAACCACATATAGAAGCTTCAGTAGACAGTCTCAGCAGAACTGCCAATCAACAACTGGCCATATGGTACAGCTATCTTGACCATAAAACCCAATTGGGCCTTCAAATGATTCCAACCCAGCCACCATCTGTTAGCACCTACTTGGGAGACTCTGAGCAAGAACCATTCAGCTCAGTCCAGTTAACCTAACAGAACTTTAAGAGATCATAATAAATTGCTATTTTGAGCCACTAAATTTTAGGATGGTTTATAGCAGAGCAATAAATAACTGAAACAGAAATACAAATATTTTGAATAATCCACCTGTTTCTTCTTTTTTCAACTCTTTGCATAGTCTTTTTTAACCAGGTACTATGCTAGGTGCTGGTGATAGATTCAAAGATGAAAGAGATATAAGATGTAAAGCCTGATGCATTTTCATAAGGAACATTTACTTGGTGAGACAGACAAATGTGTAGAAGAATATTATGCCATATGATAAGTGATACAAAAATGCATATGATTCCTGAGGGATCACATAGCTTTGGGAAAATGAATTGACTTTTTTTGGGAAGGTTATTAATAAATAAAACTGAAAACTAAGCAGAAGACACAGAGAATCACCTGAGCACTAGCATGGGGCAAAGATGGCATGTGGAACTTTCTTGGAATTGCAAATAGTTCAGTCTGGCTGGGGCATAGAATATGAAGACTAAGTGGAGAGATATAATTGGGAAAGTTGACAGAGAGCTCAAAAACGTCCTTGTATACTGTCAAACGAGTTTGGATTTTATTATGCAATGTTAAATTCTAGTCATTTTCATCCATTCATCTTTTATTTTACCTTACTATCCTTCAACAACTAAAAAATATTCATACTCCTCCAATGGCTAAGTTAAAGGATCTTGAGGACAGGAAGAGAGTCACATTGTCTGATTTATGATTCAGGATGATGGAATCTTTTGACCAGATTTCTTTTTTTTAGATCTTAAAATGCATTCTCTTCAGTGAAGCCATCTTTGGGGTTAGTCATTACTCTCACCTTATCTGTCATCTTGACTCCAATATGCTATTCCTCTTCTTTTGGTCTAGACTCTCCAATTTTAAAGCTATTTTCCAGTTAAGGAAAGGTCATTTTTCCACAGTTCAGTTCTCTGAAAAACTTACATCCCCCAGTGAAAGTCACAGTCCAGGAGTGAAGCAATCACATGCTAGAACTTTAAGGCCAATTGGAAAGTCTTTACAAACACTTGCCTTGGTCAATCTTATTTCTTGCTACAAGCCTGAAAATGCACAGTCCTAAAAAATATGTTGTCTCTGTGCACACATGTAATTTTTAAAAAGGAGAGGGCAATACGAAGGGAACTGAGGCTTGATCACCAAAAATCAGCACAATGAAAACAAATGATAATGAATAATGAGCACTAGAATTCAAATTACCAGATGTTTTAAAGAGATGGAGTGCCAGTTTTCAATTCCATTTTGAGTACCACATTACAAAAGAACTATTTTAAAAATAAAAAACTGATTGAGGGAAAAGAAAAACAAATAAAAGAATACCTAAACTACTGAATGATCTCATTTGCTCCTGATAAACTTCAATCACATCTTCTTACTCCATTCCCAGTTCTTTTATAGTATGAGTAGCAGCAGTTCTCTGATCTTCAAAGACAAATCTGAGTGAATTCATTGGAACTCCCTGTCTTTGACAGTATGATTCTTTGAGTTTCTTCAGATGTGTTGTCATTTTCACTTTGAAGTGAATCTCACCGCTATCCTGTCCTGTGACTTTGAGTTTAACATATTCTCATTCCTTCTTATTCCCCAAGTCATTGGTTGAAGGTTTTGCCTCTTGCATAGCAGTGACCTCAGGTAGGCAAAACTTCATCTGGGGGTTTATAAATTGGTCTCCCTTCCGCATAGTACAATACTGTGGCTGCAGGGACTCTGTTCTTGTCTTTTAAAAGGTGGTATAGGTATGCGCTTGCTTCTATACAAAGGAAGAAAATGCATTAGAGAAGAAGAGACAGAATACATGGATGAAAGGAACGAAGAAGGGGAACTCAGAGCACAGGCAGAGAAAAGGCATTGGAGGACACTTTTCCCCACTGAGGAAGGTGGGAATAAGTTAAAGATGCATAAGTTTCTAAAGGCATGACGGAAGGGGGCAGGGCGCAGTCAAGAAGCCTCTATGCAGTAGGTGAGAGCTGTGGCATCCAAGAATAATGGAGAGGATGGTAGGTAGGTGGCTTCTAAAAAAATGGCAAGGATCTGTAAAAGCTACTGTAGAGTAGTAAGATTGGACTGACTTGAGTCTCAGAGAAGGACTGCTGCATAGCTACACGGCCAAGCTAAGGTTTAAAAGAATGACTTTATATTGTCAGTAATCTGCATGGGTATGTTATCTTTTTTTCCTAGCACTCAGCAATTCAAGTATGACAGTGAGAAGGTGAGTGGCTGGATTGATCCAAGGTTATAACTTTTCTGGGCAGATGCAGTGAACTCAAAAACTGGATGACAGTTAAGAATACTGACAAAAGAGTAGTGAGAAAGATAGGACACAGGGTCTAAGCAAGGACTTGGACAGCTCATTCAGGTGAAAAAATGGGTTTAAAAGTAAGAAAGCTGAAATGATCAGGGGCTGTGGTTAGAGAGGTGTTGTGCAGATTGGAGACTGAGTGGGCTTTCCTTATGGGCACGAGAGACACAGGGTGATGTAACACTTCTAGAGAAGGGATTGTGAGCTATCCATGATGGTGATGACATCACTGGTCATCACCATCACTTCAGTAGGAGGTCAGTAAACTCCATCTATGTCAAGAGTGAAGAATGCTAGAGCTATAGTACAAGAGCCAACAGGAGCCTCAAAATAAGAGAGAAATACAGAAATGATGATAAGGAACAGGCTGATTAACTCTGAAGCATTGAGCAGGTAATGTCTGAGTTTAGCTTTTAAGGATCAATAGGAGTTCTTCAAGCAGATGAAAAAGGTGATAGAGGAGATTTCAGATAAAGTCAGTATCACCTGCCAAAGTTTAGAGGCATTTAAATTATTTTCTAGCACAACATCCTCAGGAGGTATAAACCATAAATACATGTCCCCATGACCATTCTTGAAATGAACTTTCCCATAGAATTAAAATAATCCCATTTCTGGATACTTGAGTAAGTTTGACTTGACTCTTTTCTCAGTTTGCCAGTTGTATAGTCTGAACAATCCTGCTACCTGTGGTTCTTAAGGAAGAGAGGTCATAGGTAAAGTTGGTGCAAAAGTCATTGCGGTTTTTACCATTACTTTCAATGTACAAAAATTGATATCCTAGAATCCATGATTTCTTCATGGTCCATTTTCTTTTTGTATCCTTTTTTGGAAGCAGGGTGATTTTAGAAAGCGTATGTATGGCATTCAAGGCTAAACAGAGCTGGTGTTGAATTGTGCTAACAACACCTACAAGCTGTGTAACATTTGGCAATTCACTTGGCCTTTCTGAATTTCCATTTTTGTGAAATACAGATAACATGTCTATCTCCTAGAATTATGAGAATGAAATGCAATCATGTCAATAAGGGATGGTACATAATAGATGCTCAATGTTTCCTCTTTGTGGTTCTCTCTGAATCTCCCTTGCTTCTCCCAACTCTGTTTTCCTAAGCTAATTTCTTTCAAGCTTATGGCTGCTGACCTTTTATTATTCTTAATCCATTGTTCCCTCTATATTGTGTATCTACCCCCTGCCACAGCCTCACATAAATACATCACAATTCCCTGAAAGTGTCCTGCTTTCTTAGAACTTGACTTCCAGCAGACTAACTCAGAAAGATCCAAGACAAAAAGATGAGGAAAAGGGAATCTCTTTTATACTAGATAGTTTTAATAATGGAATCCTAGAGACAAAGTCAGAAAGTGATCATGGGAACAGAAAACAAAGAGAAAAAATACAAGAACATTGAGGAGACACCCTAACAATAAGATTAAGAGCAGGAGAGTGTCCTCCCATGCTTTGCTGAAGTTGAGTGATATCTGGTTAGTTTCCCTGGGCTCTTACTACCTTTCTGAAACTAAATGTTGTTTGAATAGGAGGAGCTAAATTTTTCATAAATAAATCTCTCTGATGGTTTGTTACATGTCCTTTATTTTGTTCTGCATTAAAGTGTAATCCATATTTTACAGTTTTCCCACTTGCCGACTTATTTTACATTTTATCTCATATAGAGGTCTGCAACCAAGGAAAACTGAGATTCTCCAACCGATTCTCTATGTATACTTTCAGAATAGAGTAGCACACTGTATTTAGGTGAATGACAATCCCTGGGGTTGTGCAACTATGCTTGCCCCGAGAATGACAGAGGCTGGGTTTTCAGGGACCCAGGACACTGAAATCCCTGGAACTGCCAAGCCTCAGTAGTTTCTTCACCTTTTCCTGTTAATGATCACACCACTTTATTCAAGTTTCTATGAAACTATACAGCAATGATAGAAAGATAAGTTTGCAATATAGACAAGACCATCAAAAAAAGTAATTTACAAAAAAAGAAGTATAAATGGTCAATGAGCATATGAGAGGATGCTCTGCCTCTCTAGTAGTGAGAGCAATGCCACTTAAAACAGCAGGGATAAGCCATTTAGAGTGATTTGACATTGATAGCATAAAATAATAACCATTGTTGGTGTGAATGTGAGAGAAGCCTGGAAGAGATTATTCCTATTTTTATTTTCCAAATTTAATATATGATTATGATGTGAGTATGTCTATTGCAGTAAGGGGCTAATAGAAAGTTGTCCAGAGAAGTATAAAGAAGAAAGAAATCATCCATAGTCACCTTGCTCAGTGATAACCACCACTGCCATTTACAATTGATTTATTTGAATCAGGATCCAGTTGAGATCTAATCATTGCATTTGGGATGTCTTTTAAGTCTCTTTTAATTTAGAACAGATCTCCCCCCTGCACTCTGCCTTTTTTTTTTCTGGTGCTTGACTTCTGGAAGAAACTGGGTTAGCTGTCCTACAAATTGGTTCAAAATCTGGATTTGTCTATTTGTCCTCTAACTGCTCTGCAAACTAAAAGTTAGACCTAGGTCTTGATTCAACTCAAGTTTAACGTTTTTTGGCAAGAAAAGTTTGCAAGTGATGCTGTGTATTTTTAATTGCATTACATCATGCAGCACATAATGTCTGGTTGTCTCATTTTGAAACTGCTTACATTGATCAATGGCTTCAGATGGGACAGGCTGATTCTTCCGTTGTAAAGGTCCCTATCATCTCTTCTCTTAATGGTTTTAGCATCTGTTAATGTTCGTTGCCTGAATCAATCATTTCATTAGTGTTGTTAAATGGGAATTTTCTAATTTCACTAGTTCTTCTACATTTGATAACTATAATTCTTCTCTAAGGAAAAAAACGTTCCTCATCAACCAGAGATTTTTTTATTTTGAAATGTAGTAAAACAGTGCAACCAAAATGAGTATTCCCTAATTTTGTCCACTCAAATTTCTAGAAATAATGACAAACCAGTGGCAAGAAATATCCATACATGTTCAGATTATGGTTTCTAAGTAACATTAACGACCAGAGATTCGTGGAGAAGGGCTGAGTCCAAGTCCAGGGTGAAATAAGTAAGATGAACCTGATAAACATTGTGGTGGCAATAAAGAATCTCTCAAAGATAACGGCTGTGTCAAAAAGATCTCCCAGGAACTAGTTTGAAAGAACTTCTGCCAGTCAAGATGGGGCAATCTTAACATCAAAAACAATAGTGACTGAAATTGATTATCTCATATTAAATATATTTTTAAGCCTATTAGTTCATAATAACACAGACAAAAAATAAAAACTGATAGAGAACCACAAAAGCACCAGCCAAAACAAAAACACAACAAATACCATTTCAGAAAAGTAGGGCACCAACCCCTTACTCTGAAAACTGGTAAATTACAGGGAAAAGATGATTTTTGTTTCTAAATGGTCATCATGGCTGCTGTGTGAGGAGTATGTTGTAGGAAAACAAGAGTAGAAACAGGGAGGCTTCGACCAGACTCCAGGGACTGTGTAAGTTGCCAGGGATACATAGATGATGAGCTAGCCCCTGACCTCCTGGAGCTCCCATCTCCAGTGGGGAAGGCTACCTTGTCACCAGGCAGTTGGAATCAAGCGGCAAGTATATAACAACAGAGGCAAGCAGACGGTGCCACTGCAGCACACGAGAATGGCATCAAGCCATCCTGGGAGCTCTAATACAGAGGAGTACATACCCAAGCTGAGTCTTATAGGTTGAGTCAGAAATAAAAGACTATCATATCCAAGACCAACTCCAGAACCAGTTAGAGCCTGCTGGAACTAAGACAGCTGTAGTCAGTACTGACTCAGGACCTGGATAGGATTAAGCTGGCAGGAGGAAGGGAACATTAAGTCCAGCAGAGAAGGGACTGGGGAAGATGGGCTGAAAATTGATCCAACTTAGCTACGGAGAGGATAGGGCTCAGATTTCTTTTGTACTACCGTCATCTCTCTGTTTATCTGATCATTGCTTGTAACGGTGAAACACGCTAATTGGTGGTGATGAGAGGAGAGCTATGAGGAAAAGTGGGGAGGCAGACATCAACGAAGCACAAATCACAGCAGTTTTACATGGAAGGTGAATTATGCTATGTTGCTGAGCTGCATCATAGGAAAAGAGGTGCTGTGTCTATGCTGTGTTAAAATTTTAATCACTAGGGATGTTATAAACACTGAGGATTCAAAAACACACTGAGAGATCACTGGCCAGACAGAAGTAACACATGGAGACAGACTCAGGCTGTGGAATAACATAAGATGATGTCAGAGTAGACCCTCACATGACCCAGTGGATCTGCAAATATCCCAGATCCTTGGGATATTTGGATGGATAAAGTGGACGCTACCCAAAGGAGGGTGAGTAATATGGACTGCCTATGCACAGAAATACAGAGAAGAGTTACAAACCGATGCTGAGCTGAAGTGTAAAGTTTCAGAAGAGGGTTTAAACAAATATTTAAAACAATTAATGATAACATTCAGTTGTGGCAGGAGTGCAGTAAAACTGCTGTTTTGATGTACTACTAGTGAGAGCTGAATCAGTACAATCTTCCTGGAAAACAAATAACGGTATGTTTAAATATCCCAAAATGTTCTTATACTTTTTCCTAATGATTTTACCTTTGAAAATATAAGGAAAAAATCCCCAAAATATACAAGAATATATGTATATACACAAAGTATATCAGAGTATTAGTTTAGAGGAAAATAGAAAACAATCTAAATTCCTACCAGTAAGGAATGATTAATTAGGGGTGGCATATGTATAATTGGAATATTATGCAGGAATTAAATGGTTACTTTTAATTAAATTATTTGAGATTAAGTTAGAAAGTAGAAAATAAAGTGTATAAATTTTTTAGTTTTTAAAACCTTAGAAAAACTATATCTAAAGTAGAAGCACAGCAAAATTATCTGTAATCAAATTATGTTATTTTTAGAAGATTTATTGGGAGATAATTGACATACAACAAAATTCACTAATTTAAATGTCTAATTTGATGACTTTTGATAACTATTTATACCTGTGTAACTGCCACCACAATTAAAGAATATTTTGATAACCCCCAAAATTTCTGTGTTTTTTTATATTCCCTTCTATCAGGACTCCCTGACACCTGATAACCACTCTCTGCTTTCTGGTGCTATAGTTTTGCCTTTTCTAACATTTCATGTAAACAGATTCTTATAGTGTGTAGGTTTCTATGCTAGTGTCTAGCATAATGGTTTTGAGATTCGTCCATGTTGTTGGATGTATCAATAGTTTGTTCCTCTGTGTTGCTGAATAGTATTCTATTGTATAGGTATACTACAATTTGCTTTTCCATTCACTAGTTGTTGGGCATTTGGGTTGTTTCAATTTGCTTACTATGATA